TTAACTAAATTCACGATTTTGTGTTGGGCCGCATTCATAGCCATGCTGGGTTGCATGCAGCCCACGGGCCATGGGTTGGACACCCCTGCAAGGGGGTCCCCGTGGCTACGTATCCCTTTGCCTGAGCTGATACTAAAATTACTCAGTGACTTTCGAGCATGGACTGTGGACCAGGACCCATGTCATCTGTTACACATACATTATTTCAGTGTGTTTGTGTAGTACAGGAGCATTCATATAGTAAAGGGACATTGTGAACATTTCATTTTTACTCTTTGGTCACCAAACTAGTTTAACTTACTTTGGAAAGAGTTGTATGTCTGTGTAGCACAGGCCATTACAGATGTGGCAGAACATCACCGATTCAGATGCACCTGTCCCTGTTGGCACATAAGCCAGCAATGCCCCAGCAAGCTGGAGAGTGGCCTGCGTGGGAGGGGCGGGGAGCCACGGCCATCCCTGCGTCACATGAGCCCATCTGGAACCCCTGGAGGGGTCTGTGGGACTCAGCGGACAGAGTCTGGAGCCATCGGATACCGTGTGTTGAACCTTTACTGTGTATTGGGCTCAGGGCTGGGCTTTTAACCCACATTTCCAGATTTAACTCTTAAAACAACCCATGAGGGTGGATACTGTCCCTGTTTTGCAGACGGGAGAAACTGACACTTAGCAGGGGCGAGTGCTTCAGCAATAAGAGGCAGACCTGAGATTTGGGCCCACGTCCTGCGCTCCGCCACTTCTCACCACCACTTCTCTCCGACAGTGTTGTGGGGAGACCGGAAGGATAGTCCAGTCGTTACCAGGCAGCAGAGTCCAGGGTGTGGCCAGGGGAAGCAGGTCTCTCCCCACATAGTGTGTCCCTTTTGCCTGGGCCACACCACCATCAAAAATCAAGCAACTGAGGTCTCAAAGAGAGTTTTTTCACCATCTTTCATGGGTTAGGCACCCCAGCTTTATGTCCAGCTGACTGCTTCCCATTCCAGGCTCTTCTCCCTTCCCCCAGGCTTGGGCAGTGCATGCCAGGGTGGTACGGATCAGGCCTGCGAGCCAACCAGACTTCCGTTGCCCTCTGACTGTGACTGGTGTCTCAGGACTTGTGGCCCACACATGTGTGTGGGGTCCAGGCACTGACCCTGGGCACTTTCAGGATAAGGGGGAAGGAGATGGGTCAGGAAAGCTGGAGAGCCACTGTCCTCTTCATGGCCAAGCTCTGCCCTGAGCTCTGTGTCCTCAGTTGCATTTGAAATGTGGAGTCTTCCGGCATTGTGTCTGAGGAAGTGTAGCACGTTTTAATTCTATCACCGGAGCCCTCCTGCTTACTTATTAATGAATTTCAAAGTGAAGTTGGTGTTCAAAAAAAAAAAAAGGACTCAGGAGACAGAAAAAATTAAGCTGGTGTTTGTAAAACAAATATTTGATGAATGTTGTTAATCTCCCCCCAGTGGTTGTAGCTACAGGGTGTGTTAACCTGCGAGTCTCTGAGAGAGGCCACCGTGCGACTGGCATAGATCACTGGCTCTGGAGAAAGATGATTCTTTCTTCTCCTGCCTCTTAGAATGATGGAAAATAATTACAGAATTGGGATGAAAAAGAGATTGCATTCTTTCTGTGTTGTCTTGCCTGCTTTTTTATTTTGTTCTGGTGGGCCTTCATTGTTTGAAACGGAAGTTACTGTCAGTGTGTACAGAAAGAAATTGAGGATCGACACCATTTGCCCGAGGCCTGCTCTGTGTGGGCACTTCCAAGTGAGCTGTCGGGTCGAACCCCACCCCAGCATGCTGAGGGAGTGACTCTTGCTAGTGCATCACTGACGGTCCACGTATGAGAGGGTGCACGGCCTTAAACCCGCCCACGGATGGGGCCTCCCAGCTGGGGCCTCATCTGCGGGGCAGCCTCGCTCACCACGCAGCTGACTTCCCACCAGGAGAAGAGGCAGTGGTGTCGATGGTCTCTCAGGAGGGAGAGCAGAGCTTCTTTGACAAAATCCTTCTCCACATTGTAAAGTGATTATAGCCAACACAACTGAGTGACTACTACGTGTCAGGACTGTCCTAAACACTCTTCTTTCATTAACTCATTTAAACCTCACAGGAAATCTGAGGCTGGTACTATCATTGTTGCACAGAGGAGAACACGGAGGCACTAAGAGGCCAAGGTTGCCGGTGACTCAGCCTGCAGAGCCGGTGCTGGTCGCAGGGTGCGCATTTGCAGAGAGCGTATCAGTTCCTTGGATGGGTACAGGAGAAACATGCAACCAGTGTTACCCCTTGAAGTACTTCAAAATTAGAACCCTTAAAGTGCGACCGAAAGGGCCAAACTGTCCATTGTCATTTGAAGATATTTTCAGGAACCTAAAATTAGAGATGAGATTTTCCGAAGGATTCATTTCCCGGTTGTTAAACTGATTTATATGTAGAGTTTAACTAGAATTTATTCACTTGTGCATCATATATATTTCTTTGGTAAAACAGTAAAATATGAAATTAGAAATAGCCATGATAAATTATTTCCATATTATAAAAAGTATTAATACCATGTGTTTCTCATCCCTTTCACCCCAAAGTCTCCTTCTCAAAGTTTTCTTTCTGCTCTTAGCTATTTATTTCCTTAAGAAGAGGGTAGAGGAAACTTGTGGAGTGTGAAAAATGCAAAGTCGGAAACAACCCACAGACTTGCTGGCTCCGAAATGGCTCCCCGTGGGATGAGATGACTCAGGGAGGTCCTGGAAGGCAGTGGGGTCAGCCGTCTTGCTCCATTGCTAGGCCTGTGGGGACGTGGTACCTCTGTTTCTCTAGGTGGCCCATTAGTGTGGGGTTGATGCTGGTGATGCTTGACTATCTTGGAACGTAATCCAACACTCAGGATTCCTAATGTCTCCTGGCCCCCTGCCACCCCCCCCCCTTTGCCCCTTGCACTCAGGAGAGAGCCTGTGTCACGCCCATCTTCACCTTCCTGCGCTTACTGAGGGCTCCGTGCCTGGTTAACTACATGACCTAGGAGTTAGCCACCATCTGTTTTAGCTGCTTCCATTCACATTTTGAGAACAAAATAAAGAAAACTTGCCTCTTCCTCCCACCCCTTCACATTTCTTTCATGCCTTTTCGTGGAGGTGGGAGGTCAGACAAAGCAGGGATGGCTTTCATTGAAGCAGCAGGCAGGTCGTGATTTATCATCGCCGGAGCAGACAGTGGGCTAAATGAAAGGACCAGTCGGAGGCATGCTTATCCTACTGCCTACATAGACACGTTGAACTTATTTTCAAAAGAAAAAACACGCCTTAGAGCAAGGGCACGATGGGAAACCAGTGCTGTTGGTGGTACTGCTCTCCAAACTCCTTTAAAATCAGGCTTTACTGTAAGTTTATAATGAAGATACAGCACTTTTACTTCTTAAACCATGACTTCCATTTTGTGGTATAATTAAGGGTAATTACTCAGGTTAGAGATTTGGGCCAGGTGAGGCTGACTTAATAAATAGCTGTTTGCCTCTAGCATTAGCAAGGGTGTCTTCATTAAGGTGGCGATGTGTCAAGAGCCCTGGGTAGGTTGCCATGGTATTTGTGGGTTTCAGCTTGGACTCTGGCTTTCCCTGAAATTAAAATGTTCAGCCACCAGAATAAAAGGTGCTTCCTTGCAGAGTAAAGCAGAAGGAAGTGAAGGATTTAACCAGTGAAGTGACTATGGCTCGGGAACTCAATTGCAAAGACTGATAAAGGCATGGATAATTTAAAAGAAGTATTGATTCTGAAGGGTTTTATTTAAAAAGAAGTTGTTTCATCTTATCCATCCATCCATGTACCCAGAAGGACTGTTCCCTAACATGTGGAAAAGCCGCTGCTCTTCAGAAAACCCTGCCTGCCCCCAGGACCAACTGACCCACAGGAATTAGGTCTTACCCAGCCTTGTGTCCCAGAGCCTGGCATAGAGCAGATGTTCAGATGTTTGCGAAATGAATGCATGAATTTTGCTTAGCCCTTAGGTGAAATCGACTTACGAGTCACATTTTGAATTATGATTCTATCACTGACCAGCTTCCAGCAGTATCTGAACACAACCAATTGTCCTCAGATGCTGTACCAAAGTGCTGGAAACTGGGAGAACCCCCTGGACCAACAGGATTCAGATCTCATATCAACTAAAGAGCCTGGATAACTTATGGGAAGTTAGGTTATTTCCAAAATGTTACAGTTAGCTATAAAAAGACAAATGATGACCGTATGTTGTAGTTACAAGTAATGCAGTTTCATTGTGAAAATAGTCATTTTTCAAGACCTCTTTTTTTTTTACCTTATGCCTTCTATGCTTATGTCTCATGGAAATAGTAATCAGCAAAGAAGTACAGATATTTTGTCTGGTTCAGACAGGGGAAGGAGCCAGAAGCTGCCAGTCAAAACTGGCTAGCCTGCCCGAGCTATTTTTCTGCTAGTTTTATTAACTGTGATGGATGACTGTAAGCAAAGTATTTTTTTTCCTTTTTTTTTCTAAGACTTATAATCCTAAATGTTTTCTTACTAGTTTGGGAAATGGGCTTTGAAAGATCTTGGAAAGATAAGGGTTAAAATTTAAGTATTTTCTAGCTAAACTTAAGTTATTTGGAAAATTCAGGAAAAGAGGACATTGTATTTATTTCTTTGGTGCCCAATTAACATCAACATTGTTGCCTAGTATGTAGTAGAAGGTAGGTTAGGTTAACAGTAAATCTGGTTATGGAAAATTTGAAATTTTATTGAAAACTGAAAGCATAAACAAGTGTTATTTTTAGAATCTATAAGCCTAACAAAAGGGATCTCATTCTAGGCCTAATATGTATTTAAATCTGTTTTTCTTATTTGTAAAGATATTAGACCCTAAACTATAATGCAACAACTGGTTGATTATTATAATTCAGACTGTATGGAAAGCATTTACCAATTTGGCCTAATCTACTCCACTAGTTTGTACCGTAATTTCTTATCAGCAATAGAAGTTCCTGTGGCTAATGGATTCTGCCCCTTGTTCTAGGTTTATTCCAATCTACAGAGGACCCAGCCACACCTACAAGGTCCAGAGACTAACGGAATTCACCTGCTACTCCTTCCGGATCCAGGCAGCGAGTGAGGCTGGAGAAGGGCCCTTCTCGGAAACGCACACCTTCAGCACAACCAAGAGTGTCCCCCCCACAATCAAAGGTTTGTGGATATTGTATTTCTCCTGTTTGTGGCCATGCTATTCTGAGAGAGTACATTTCTGACTTTAGGTATATTCTTCTAATGTTCCTCAGCAAGATCTAACCAAAAGAACTTCTTAAGAGAAAAGATAGGGAAATGGGTTTGGGGGCGAATGAGAGGCCTTAAAGGAGATGGCCTACCGATAGGCTTGCTCAGGTGTGTGTAAGTGATTATTACAGATAATTTAATAGTCACATCCCCACGGTGGGGAGAGGGACAAAGGAAAGAAACAGACCTGAGGGACAGACTTTGACTCAACATGAGAGTGAGTTCCCGACGTAACACTTAGGACAATTTACCGTGGAAGGTTTGAGGGTCTCCCTTCCCAAAGACATTGAGGAGAAGCAGAGGCTGGCATTCATCTCTCAGTGACCTTGGTGCCTAGAGATGAGAGACTGAGGTAGGCAGCTTCGGCAGCCCGTTCCCTGGCCCGTAGCTCTCACTGGGGAGAGACGCCTTTGGCAGGCTGCAGCCATGGTCTGTTCCCATATATATGGGTATTCATCTTGAGGTTTGTGAGTGACTAGTTTACTCTCTGTCCCCTCCTTGGGGTCAGGGACCAAGCAAAAGCCACTCCACCCAGGTACCCTCTCCATCGGATCTGCTGAGCCCTCATCTCCCAGTTCCAGCTGCAGCGTTAAGCCCTCTGCTAGATGCCAGGCGGGGCAGAGAACCTCAGGGTGACGCCGGCTCAGCCTTTCCCACTCTGCCTTGGGTGTAAGCCTAGCCCCTCCATGGACTTCTGAGCCCTGTTCTCCCCAGTGGCACAATTCTTGTGAAGGTCCTACTGCCCATCTTTGAGGGTGTGGGCAGCACTGGTGGCTTTATCCCGCTGCTGCCCAGAATGATCTTGAGGTTGACAGACAGGCTGCCCACCTGAACCAGGTTTTATGTGGTTAAAGTGGGGTTTACTATATTGTTTAGGTGTCTGGGGGGCCAGCAAAGCTATTTGACACACTGCATCCGTGAGCAGGAGCTGTATCAGCCACCACCACAGCTCAGAGTTCATGACAGGGGTGAGGGGCCTCCAGGACCTGGGTCAGGGCCTGGCTTGGATTCTGTGCAGGTTTCCTGTACTCCCTTCCGGGGTACTTTATGGTATATACCTCCCCCTGCTTCCTGCCCCACAGCGGTCCAGAAGCTCTTTGGCAGCTGCTTCCTCATGTGAGTAAGAAATTGGTGTAAATGGATGGACACACACAAGGCCTGGCTGGGTTGCCTAGTGGGTAAATTCCCTGGCCTTTTAGCACAGCTTTGCCTTTCAGCTGTAACAAAAGATTCCCAGACACACTGTGGCTGATAGAGGTTATCGGGGTAAAGGTTTGCCTGCTTACCATTAGCAAACTTTACCTCCCGAAGTGATTGTTGGTGGAGATTCATTTTGTGGAAAACAGAACACTGAATTGGTGACACCTGCTTTTCCCGGCACATTTACTTCGGAAGGACAGTGTCCTCACCCTGCCACCTGACCAGGGCTCTCCCCCTCCCTCTCAGACTCGGGAGAGTGGTGTCTTAGCTGGAGACCGTTCAGTCTGATAAGGCTTTTTATTTAGTTTTTCTATATATTGCTTGGAGTTTTGACCCACTAATTCCAACTTTTTTAAAAGAAAACCTTTATTTTTCTGAAAAATGCTTGCATAGAATTACAAGTAGAAACAATTGTCTCTAAAGAATTAATGTTAAGTAATTAGAAATGAAAGAATAAGGAGGTTCAGAGAGAGTAGAAAAATGGATATTGAACTAAGCTGTAGACACAGGGGTGTCCAACACCTGACCGCATGTGGCACAGGATGGCTATTCTGTATGTGGCCCAACACAAAACATGAATTTACTTTAAATTCATGTTTTTTTTTTACTCACCAGTTTTCATTAGTGTTCTTGTATTTAATGTGTGGCCTAAGACAACTCTTATTCCAGTGTGGCCCAGAGATGCCAAAAGGTTGACCACCACTGTTAGAGCTATAGCATAAGCTATGAGAAAATACTTAACTTTAAACCACAATGATGAGTCCAGTAGGTGAAAAATAAACTAAGAAAATATAAATACAGGGTCAGCCCTCCCTTAGACCTCACACAGATGGGACTTTTTCTCCCCTGGAACTACCTAACATTACTACTTCTCCTTTTAATCTGCCTTCCATTCTGCTTTTTTGTGTACTTGTTCCACACCTTACTGTCCCCCCCTCCATGGAGTTCTTAATTTCCTTGAAAGCAGGGTTTACACTACCTATTTTTGCCGTCCCCAAACTACCTGGCTCAGGACCTAGTCATAGAAGGTGCTCCACAGCCGTCAGAAAAATAACACAAATTCAGTCTAGGCCCAGCAGTTATCAGTAGGATCCTGAACAAAGGCTGTTTCACCAACGGCCTACTGGTCACCGAGACTAGTCACCGGGTGTCTTCCCCGCGGAAGGGGCACCCGCCGGTCTGACAGGAGGCTGGGCACATAAACCCCCTCGGGACAGGCACCGCACACGCACTCTCCTACTCTTTCTGATAGCGCTAATGGGATGCTCTTTCTTGTGATCTTGAATGTGTGAATTTGTATTTCAGCACCTCGAGTAACACAGTTAGAAGGAAATTCGTGTGAAATTTTATGGGAGACGGTACCACCGATGAAAGGCGACCCCATCCACTACATTCTGCAGGTATTGGTTGGAAGAGAATCCGAGTACAAACAGGTGAGGACCAGTGTGCGTGGTGTGCGTGCGGCTCTCAGACTCAGGCGGGCTCCTTGCCTTTCCCTGTTGCTTTGAATGGCTCGGTGACCAGTGAGCTGCAGTTTTCTTAAAATTAATCATGGAAACTGCCTACATCACCCATTACCTAGTTCTTTAGAGTTTACAAGCCCTAGTTTACATTTTATTTTGCACATGGTGGTATTCAGCTTAAACTTTCAGCTCTCAGGCATAATCTAGTAAAGAGTTGCAAGTTCTGTGTTTGTATATGATGTTGGCAGTTATGTTTGCAAATATCCAAGTCTGTATGTAATTGAAAGCTGAAGTTCCAGTGGTTTTACTGTACAGGAGAGGTACTCTCTACCTAACTACTGAAGCCTGGGTTCTGTCTGCCTCTTTAATGGAAGTTACAGTGGAAGAATAAGGAATGTGACTATCGATTCTTGTGTTCTGCAGTTCAGAAGCTCTAGGTCACTGCTTGCCACCCTCCCATGTGCATGGGAGTCTATTAAAATGCAGACTTGGATTCCATAGGGCTGGGGTGAGGGTTCAAGCTCCCAGGTGATGCTGGTTCATGGACCATACTTTGAGTAGCAGGCTGTACAGATCACATAATAAACACGTGCAAGAGAAAATATAATTGGGATCCAACCACATAATTAATTTGGTTGCATGAATTTTCACACCCCTTTTTGACCCTTAATTCTTGCAAATCCACACATTATAAGACCTTGGCAATTAAAGATACAGGCACTCTATAGGCTTCTGTAATGTTCCCAGGGACTTAATAACTATTTTTGTGAAATCAGGATATCATCCTATCACTCCATTAGGAAAGCTGAGGTCCATTCCTTAACAGCACTTTTAAGAGAGCCACACATTTATATGAAACTCGGAAAATTGAAAATAAATTGCCACCTATCTTCTGAAATTAGCATAATTTGTGAAGACTTCTTTTTTCAGCTCTTGAGGCTCCCGATAACACAAGACAAGTTGAAAATTATTTGAGTCAGAGTTTGTTAAATTGATGGTTGATGTTCCTTGTGTAATAGTAATACTTGGAAATAAAAATGTATTAAAGTGAATCAAAGAACTTTTGGTACATTTTACTGTGCTTTCTTAATATGAAGTGTCAGAGAAAAGAATGAATTGCTTTCAGCACATTTGCAAAAACTGCATTTTAATTCTGACACCCACCAATTTTGATTAACATCAGTGGATGATGTCACCAAAGCTCCCATCGCTGCTCTTAAACAGGAGCCAAAACACTACTGTTTCCCTGCACTCTCCAAACTCATGCTATACAGTGTACCCCATTTCAGAGGAAGTGACTCTATGTGTGGAATTATTTCAGCTTACCAGGAAGATACGATTGGTTTCAGGGTCTCAGCTCAGACGGAAGTGAGATGAGCTCCCCGCCGGATGGAGTCGCCTGTGGCGCTGGGGCAGCGCTGCCCAGTTCTGCAGCAGTGATGTAAAAATGGCCACACGGTGAAATGTTACAGAATTTCACAGCATGTTACTTGACACTTAAAACTTTCATTCTCCAACAATACATTCATTGTGTATCCATTATTGTACTTTTAAAAACCTTTTGTTCCATGTCCCATGCTTTTCCACATGTTCTTAGAAACAGATGTTCTTTAAAGCACAGTGATTACTATTTTATATTTTAAAAGCAGCATTATTTGGTCATTATCTATATATGTCAGGCATTGCCAAAATATAGGTCAATTTACTTGGTAATCTAGATTTTGTTGACAGATTGGCTGTTTTGAATCTGGTACTTGTTTAATGTTATATATTTAGACCCATGGACATATAAATATTAATATACATAACCCCACATATGCCTGGGAATATATTTCTTATTGTAAACAGTTACAAATGAGTTTCTTGTTAAAAATAGGTGAAAACACAGTACTAGAGGGCAGGCTCGGTAGATAGGGGTTAGCATGCTTCACATAACTATGTCTTCCCTACATTTACCAAGAAATGATTAAGGTTGGTAGTGGTGCATGAAAAGCCACAGTTGAGTCAGGGACAAATTGTACTGAGTTTTTTCCTTTTCCCTAGTCAATAAGCATTAAGTGAAACATGATGTTTTTGAGTACTTCATTCACTTGTTTTGGACACGAGATAGGGAATGAAAGCTATTTATATTATGTGTGCAGAGCAATGGTTAAAATAATTATAGTCCAGAGATAACAGGCTTTGAGTTCATAGAAAAGTAGAGAGAATCATTGCTGAGCAGAGTCCGCTGCAGAGGCGCCTGCTGCTGAGAGCACTGAGTGTGCCCCAATCCCTGCAGGACCACTAATGTATGGGCTGTTTTTCTCGGTGTTACCTTCCTACGACCGGCACATAGCTAGGCACTCGGCAAATGTTTCCTTTCGGCACAAAAGAGTCAGTTTCAAAGGAACAGGGTTATTTATACAGCAGTTGAAAGTATAAGCTCCAGCATGGGGTGGATTTAGAAGTGATATTTGTAACTTAGGATAAACATCACCTGTAATAGGAGGATATCCTCCTGCAACCCAGGCTTACCTTTACAGCAACACAGGGCAAAGGCCAGGCCTTTTCTGATGTTTTGTTTGAAACAATGACTTTACCTTTGCCTTGGTTGTAGCTAATTAGCTTTCTTTGTGGAGCTATCATGATGTGGGGTGAGCAGCTGGTTTTAACTATGAAACGATCGATTAACTTCAAGTGTTAAATCCTCACTTGAAATTTTTCTCTGCATTAGGATGCATGCTGCTCTTGATTTGGCTCTTCTGCCACTTAGTGAACATTCCAACCACATGTTTTTTTAAAGAAACTTAAAACTACTTTCAATCAATATTAATTGTAAAGCATCCTTGAAAAGAATGAAAATATGCATATGCAGGTATGCATTTGCATAAGATATAACAGTTTAATACCATTATATCTGTTAATACTATTAATAATATCCACATTCCTGTTCAGAAAGCAGTAATTTTATTTAAAAAATTAAAAATAAACATTGAAGATGAGTAAAAGGTAACAAATTGTAAGACATTATTACCTATGAAGAGTCAGAATTTGTGACAAATTATTAATATTCTTGGCACTCGTATTTGTTGCATTACGAAGGCCTTTGAAGCATCTGAGAATTTACAGAGCTCCATGTTTAATTTGAAGGCATCTCTCTATCAGTGTAGTTTTACTTAGTGTCATTGTTAGAGTGTAGTACTGGACATGTATTGATTCTTCACGGTATCTCATAAGTTACTGTGAGTAAAGACCTTCTCTGGGGAGAACTTAGTCTCGAGCCTACTTATTTTCTAATGGCCTTCAATTTAACTCCCTAACAGAAATTAAACCCTGGGGCCATGACTGTCTCATGCACCGTTTTTAAAATTTTGTCATGAGTAAAGAGTCAATTCCAAAGCAAAATAAGAATAGATCAAAAGGGAGAGAGTTGAAAGTCATCACTTATTTTATTGATTCTTGGGGGGAGCGGGTTAGGTTTACACATATATGTAAGTATCAGACGAAGGTAAGGACCCTTCACACCAGAAAAATCCTCACGAGTGCATTCATTTTAAATTTCATGTGAAATAAACTTACATTCAGTTTCCTGGAGCCCAGGTACCTTGGGTCTATGGGGAAACTGTTAGGTGCTTTTTGTTTGCACTGAAGGTGGGTTGCCGGGCATCTACGAGAACAGCCTGGCTAGTGTTCTCGGAGCTTACACGCCGTGGGGGTGAAAGCAGCGCACTCCCGAGGAGCAGCCCAGTAACTAGCCTGGCCTGTCTCTGACTGGGAAGCATGGCGCCTGCCCAGCCTTGCGCCCTCTAAAGAGGAGCTCGGGTTGGTATCTGCCTCCCACAGTCATGTGATGTTGGAGGAATTACTTCACCTTGCTGAGCCTTGGTTGTCCTGTAAAAGTGGGGACACTGGTCCTCTAGCTCAGGGTTCCTGTGAACATCCCATCAGCTGTGTCTTGAGAAGGCACCGTGTGAGTGACAACGCTACCCAGTTGTGTCTCCCTTCCCAGCTCTTGGGAGAGGGGTGACCTCGGGAAAGAGATCCAGACACTGGTCCCCAGTATGAGCCTCCGATGATCTGCCCCGAAGGCTCTCTTTCTAAAGGATTTCAGCTACACAGCATGTTTCTCTGAATTAAGGGTCACAGATTCTTCATTTTGGTTGTCTGGGTATCACTTTAAACCCTCCCATTTGGAATAAACATGTCCAGGTTACTTCAAAATATATCGTACATCCAATCAAGAATGGAAATCATCTTCATAAAAATAATATAGCTTATGCATGTCCTGCGTGCAATGTTATGATTGGATACTTCAATAGAGAACATCCGAAGAGAATGGGAGGCACGTCCAGCTACCCTGCCGTGGAGAGCAGCCCAGCTGGACGGCAGGCCTGACGACCTTGTGATTTTGTGATCTCACGGCTGTGTTAGTTACACAAAAACAAATCAGTTCACTCAGACCTCAGGAGTCAGAACCCTCAGGAAATGGGGTTTGGCAATTGTTTTAATTTTCCCTTAGCTTAGAATTAATCCAAAAGGCTTAGTCAACTTAGTAGTTGACTCTCTCTCTTTTTTTTTTTTCCTTCAGCCTCACATCCAGTTCAGAACTTCTTTCTTGTCGGGGTTCTTTTTCTTTTTCTTTTTCTTTTTTTAATTTTAATTGTTCAAGTACAGTTTTCTGCCTCTTACTCCCATTCTAGCCCACCCCTCCAGCCCTCCCCACCTCCCTCCCATTTCCAGCCCTCCCTTGCTTCTGTGCTTGTTGACTTTTTCTAAAGTAGATCAGAAACTATCAGTACACTTAAACAAGTTAATCACTGTTAGCGATTCCGTCTGTGCAGTGATGGCTGTGCCTGCGCTGAGCCCCCATAGCCGCTGTGGCTTGTGTGTGTCTTCTGACACTGAGTGCTCCCCTCTTCAGGCAGCGTGGTGTGAGAATGGCACTGCTGAGCATCCGAGCACTCTAATTAGAGAATATTCACTGTGCGCCTTTGTTCAAGCCTTTGTACTGGGTGCTGCGGAGATAATAGAACACCGCCCCACGTATAGTACTATTTAGCATAAATATGTCTTTTTAGAAGATAATGTTAACATTGTATTGCCAATGCTTGTGAAAGATGGGAGCTGTTCTAATTAAAACTGTAAGAAGGGCTAAAAGAACAGCATCTACAAATTAAAGCCTAATTCTTGATTGGACTTGTCATTAAGGAAGCTTCCTTCCATTTGATATTCATTTTCCTTCACTAAGATTTCTGCCTAATGGTATGTGAAAAGTGGCACTTTTTGCTTTCAAAACACATTTTCAGAGATTTTTCACTCTAAGGAGTTAGAGTTGAGAAGTGCAATCAAATTATCATATAAAGTCTCTGTTCAAGATTCCGGGAATAAAGTTTCTGGGGAATGAAATATACTTCTGTCCTAACTTTCTTAAAGGGATCCAGTCATGCAAATTATGGAAATCATAGAAATCATTTAAATAGATATTAAATAAAAATATGAATCCACTTTGCAAAATTGCCCAAAGCATCTGTGGGGATAGCTCCTTAAGTAGTTTTCTGCAGTGAGGTCATTGTTTGCTGGCAGATAGCAGAAGCCGCGTTGTGACAGCAGTGTTCCCCCAGTCTTTGCTTGGCACGGACCGGGTGGGGGACCACTCCTTGTGCATCATAAAGGCAGTGCTTTCCTTCTGGGCAGCAGAGCCCAGGGCTGCGTGATCTGCCACGTGTTTAATGGCCACAGCAGGGAGGTGGTAGGGCCGAGTGAACTGGACCTGGTGTCACGCCAGTCATTAGATGAGGACGGAAATGGCAGGTTGGGGGGCACCAGGCAGCGCTGGGGGAATTCCAGTGGTGAATGCAGGTGTTTGAGGCACAAGTCGGAACTTGTCTGAGGCCCACCTCTGCGTTGTTCAGTTTCTTCATCTGTAGGGTGGAAGTAATAATCACCTGACAGTGTAATCAGGAGGATTAAATTTGATAAACTGAATTTATCTCCAGCATCTTCCTTTCAGAAAGCATTTTTCACATGCCTCTCTCCTCTAATCCACCTTGGAGCTACTTTAGGTACAGTACGCTCCTACCCCCATGTTACAGATGAGAAAGCATAAGGCTCAAAGCTCTACTTGCCCGAGTTCACAAACCTAGAAAGTGGCAGTTCCTGTACCTGAGAGGAATCTGCCCAGTGGCTCCCAGTGGCCATGTCAGGCAGGACCCAGTCCCTCCGGGTCGCACAAAGAAAAGGGAGAGGGCTCCAAGGGCTCTAATATTTTACCCTTTGGTGAGTGTGAACAAATATTTCAAGAGGCGGGCCCCCAAGAGAATGAACAAAAGAAGTGTATCAGGAAACCTTGTAGCTGAGGCTTAGATGGCCTTAGTCATGCCAACATTAACAACCACCAAAGGGTCACAGTGAATTGTGTACCTGGGGCACCGCAGATAGAAACCAAAGCTCAAACAGTGGGTGTGAGCGGACCTGCTTCATCGAACTGGTGCACTGGTTCCGTGGGCTGCCAGTCATTCCTTCTGTGAATGGTCCCAGCAGGTTCCAAGAAAAGACTCGTCTCAGAAAATAGCAACTTGAACACTTAAATTTAAGAAATTAAGAAAGTAGAGAACATCCATAATTAAAAGATACCTTTAAACAAAGGTGTGTCATTGCTTTCCTGAGACCACCCACATGTTGGGAAGTAATTCATGGACTGTCTGTTGTAGTGTAGTCTGAACTCCCAACCAGCCAGCCATGTGACAGTGAGGGCCATCATCATGACAACATGCTCATCTTAAAATACCCACTTAACTCGTCATCAGAGCAGTGAGAAGGAGGTGGCCTCTCTCTATTCCAGAGGTGGAGGGCAGTTCTTCCATTCCTGCTTGCTCCAGCCCAGCTCTGTCCCTAATTCCAGTGGCAAAGGCACGGACCACAACCTTGAAAGAGTCAGGGCAGCTCACCAAGGCAAACATGCTTAACATCTTACAAAGCACGTGACAAAAGCAATGATGAATCTGGAACAGCATGAGAAACAAGCAGTTTTTCCTGGCGTTTAGTCACTAAACAAAAGTGTAATAAATGAGACACATAAAGTTTTCTTACAAGGTTTGAAAATGAGAGAGGGAAATATCTTAAGAAGAAGGCTAAATATCAGGTGAGCATTAAAAGTCCGGCGCCTTTTCAAAGCCAGGAGAGTCCTTTGCTCTCTTCTCTGTCAGCTCGCCCCGCACTAAATGTGCGGCCAGCACTCCTATGTTCGCTGGTGGACGGTCCTGCTTCTTGGTAGAAGTTGTCAAGAGGCTTCAGAAACACTCATCATTTGTAGCTTCCTACTAACTCTCCATGGCTGGTAAATGTTTCCGACAGAGTTAACATTGTTGGAAATACTCTTCTTCCATGGTACTTTATTAATGGGCAAAGTTGACAGCTTTACTAAGGTAGCCTGTTGAAAATGTTCATATCTGTCATTTTTAATTGTTGTATTTTAAGAACATATTTGGAGTTTTTAATTTTTAAATAGTAATAATAACAATAGTTCACTTTTATTATGCAATTCCTAGGTACCAAGCATGTTTTAAGCACTCACTCAGTGCCACTCCTACAGAAAGAGCACTTAATTTTCCTTTCTTGTTTAATTTTCTCACCAGCCAATCTCTTACTGATCTGGTTAAACTCCAGCTAGTTTTTCCTGTCTCTGTTGACTGGCGCTGGTATAAACCATACATTTTCGTGTAATTTTGATCTAATCTTCATCTTCTGTAAGTGTTTTGAGGACCAGTAGCACTTTGATAAAAGGACCCTGTGAGACCTCTCCTCCCTCAAAGACTCTCACGCATCAGTCATCCCGGGGTGGAGATCTCTGAGTGAGCGGGCAGCTCTTCAGTCCTGTACCAGTGAGGCTTGTGGGCACCGTACAGGGTGGGGCAAGAGTAGGTTTAAAGTCGTTCTTATGGAAAATAATATGATAATTAATAAATAATAATACACAAACTCTGTGTTTTATGTACGCAACTGTAAACCTATGTTTGCCACACCCTATATTAGAATTAACAAAGGGGAGAAAACATCTCGGATCCCTACTAGAAAAAAACAGATCGGTCATACACAGAGAGAACACTTAAGACAGACTGCTTAATTATTTAAATGATAATCTGTGATAAATTGGACTACATCGAAAATTTCTCAAGAAATTATTAGGCAGTCTATAAAACTGGGAGGCGGTATTCGCAACGTGCATCTGACAAAGCATGTATATCCAGATTATATAAAGAATCTCTGCAAATTAATAAGATCAGATTAAAAACAGACAAAAAAAAACGTTGAACTTTCTCTTCACCAAAGATGTATGAGTGCCCAATAAGCATGTAGAAGGTGGGAAACATCATTAGTCATCAGGGAAGAGCAGGTGAGGTACCATTCTCACTCACTAGCATGGCTAACACACAGAAGACGACAAAACGAATGTTGGGCGGGGGTGTGTGGGGTTCCTGGAGCTCGCATACTTCCCTGATGGGAGTTCGGGGTGATTCAGTCACATTTGAAACTGTTTCTCCTGAAGTTTAATGTAGACTTTCCCTGTGACCCAGCACTTCGACTCCTATGTATTGCCTAAGATAAGTAAAAACTTAAGTCCTCAAAATTTGTACAAAAATGTTCATACAGTTCTTATATAAAAGCTCCAAACTGAAAACAACACAAGTATCCGTCAAAAAGAAATGGATAGATTGAGGTGTGGGCATCCAATGGAACACTCCTCAGTGAAAGTGGTAACTACTGAAATCAGGACTGTGGATGAATCTCGTAGGCACCGGAGAGTGTATACTCTTTGCTTCTGTTTCGATGAACTTCTAGAACAGGTGAAACTAATTACACAAGTCGAAGTCCGAATAGTGCTTACCTCCTAGGGCTGGAGGCGGGGTATCTTACTGGCCTTGTGTTACTTGGTGTATCCAATTGTCAGGAAGTTGTTCGACTGAAACTTTGCATTTCATTGTTTATACAATTCATTGTTTTTAATTGTTTTAATTAAAATCTCCTTATTCTGTGGATCCAGATCGTAGAGCCCTTTGTAAGAATGAAGCCATCTTCTGATTTATAGCCTAAATGATCATTGAAATGTACCTAGATGCATGTGTATTACTCATGTCAGCTACAATTCTAGTCTGTGCCTGCCTCCTTCTGCCACTGTCAGAGTCACTGAGCTGTGTATTGTTTGATTCAGAGTGCGTTGGGATACCTTGCTTATGGATGGCACACAGACTAGAAGAAATACCTTTCTGTATAATCCTTGATGTTGCAGAGTTCAAGCCAGGTCCATGAGCCTCCTGATGTTAATGTGATTATTACTTTAGAGACTGCAGTATTTGTATAAATTAATTGACCAGAACTTTTCCTTTTCTTGAAGGTGTACAAGGGGGAAGAAGCCACATTCCACATCTCAGGCCTCCAGACCAACACAGACTACAGGTTCCGCGTGTGTGCGTGTCGGCGCTGCGTAGACACCTCTCAGGAGCTGTGCGGGGCTTTCAGCCCCTCCGCAGCCTTTGTGTTACAGCGCAGCGAGGCCCTGCTTCCAGGGGACATGGGGAGCTTAGACGATCCCAAAATGAAGAGCATGATGCCTACTGATGAACAGTTTGCAGCCATCATTGTGGTTGGCTTTGCGACTTTGTCCATTTTATTTGCCTTTATATTACAGTACTTCTTAATGAAGTAGACAAACCCAACAAAACTAGAGGTATGAATTTAATGCTACACATTTTAATATACACATTTATTCAGATAACCCCCTTTTTACGCCCTTTTGTTCTTTGATTTATATATTTCTCTTGTTTTACAGATTTAGCTAGGAAAAAAATATCAGTGTTTTGGTGCACCTTTTTGAAATGCAAAACTAGAAAGAGATTAAACTGGATTTTTTTTTTTTAAAGAAAAAAAAGAAGGAGAAGGAGAAGAGCAAATCAGATACCAAAAGCTAGCTTTCTTATCTTTCTTTCGTATTTTCAGACCTGCCTCCTGTTTTCACTGATGTCTTGTGCAAGCCTTGGATTTTTTTTCCCATGTTACAGTTTAGTAATTTATATTCACTAGTCACTTCTACGTCTTGACCATCTGTAGCTGTCAACGAGAATCACAGTGTGTGTCGTCACAGGGCTAGGGTGCCGGTGTCGTGCGGAGTGCGACCACACGGCAACCTGCAGACGGTGTGTTCGCTCAGAGAAGGCTGCCCTCAACAACCGCGTTGTCACTCAGTTATCTAACTGTTTAGCTCACTAAGATCAAAAAGTGTACTTTAATCTAAAATGTTTTAATAATCTGTATCTCTTATGATTTTAACACTATGAGCTGCCTGTCTAAGAAATCAAGTAACCAAAATGCACCTATAAATTATGGAGCATTGTAGATTTTACCACGTCGATTTATAGCAGTAACTTTAAAAGGGCATTGTGCAATAGTTAGTTGTTTCCTTGTTCAGCTATTTTAAAAGCTGCTTTAACTTGTTTGTTTGTCTTTGTATATAACTACTTCTAATCTAATCACTAGAGTTATTATATTCTGTTACGTTTGACCAGAGTTATATGACAAGAACTGGTGACAGTTTAGTGCCTCTGCCCATCGTTCATGATTTACACTAATTGTGAGAAACCTTCTTATACGTCAGCTCATTATTTTTGAAAGATTTGCCTTTAGGCTGTTCTTTGAGGTATCAAATGAAGTGATTGAATTTCCATACCTTAATTCGGTGCACATAATACTAAGCTAACAGCAGATGAAAACTGGTAAAACCCAAGAGAGAGTCATTCAAATTTGCAGTTACTGTCTTTGTGGGGTTGACCCGGCCGTGTGCGGAGAGGGAGTGGAATTTGGCTGTAAGCACAGGGTGTCTGGGGCCGAGGAGCCCAGAGTCTTTACCTGGATCTGTCACTGACTCGCTGCATGACCTGAACACGTCACTTTACCTCTCTGTGCCTCAGTTTTCCCATGCATTAAAAATAAAATAAAATAAAATAAAATAAAATGGGGATTCTAACGTTTGTAAGTGCTTTGAGATCCTTGATTAACAGGTGCTATTGGAGTGCAAAGTGTTACTCTTGCATGTTTATTTTGAGTCATGAGATAATCAGTTTTAACCCAAAGTCATTGGATTATTTATATGAAGTCCATAATGTTCGCGTACCTCAGGGACATTTAAGAGTTGGAGGTGCAAATATATTCCAAAAGGGTGCAACAGACACAGTGTATCCCCCCCGCCTTCTGTTTTTGTATATTTTTGCTACTTGGTTTTTCTTCCTCATCGCTCTTTTGTGCTTGGTCTGTGTTGTCTTAAGATGCAGTATCCTGTACCAGCTTATAATATTCCCATACCAAAGTCATGGGGAAGCCAACATTATTTTGTTTTTGGTTTATTTATACTATATTCTGCATACAGTACTTTAAATGCCAATTACAGTGCAATCTTTATTTATTGTAAAATTTTTTAAATGTACTTATGTACTAATTTTCCCCTGTAGCATGTTATTTTTTGTGTGTTTTATACTTTTGTAATTTTAGGTCAGTCTTGTTCCTTGGCAACATCTGTAGTATTATCAACCTTCTGACATTTTCTTGTGTTTTTAAAGATAAGAGCATCTAGTGCATTAAATGCCAAAAAAAAAAATAAAATCCATTATCAGTGATTGAAACGTTTACATGTACCCAAAAAATCATAATCATCTCTTAAAGAAAGTGCTAAGATTAATGAATTATTCTGTGTGCCTATATTGATGTAGTAAGTACTAGAGAGTTCTGTATTTTGTTATTGACTATAATAATTAGTTTAATTAGCCTTGCAAACTGATGATATCAAGGTAAATATATTTTTGCCAAAGTCTGGCCTTCCAAAATGTATCCCTCTATTTAATTGTGTATTATATAACCCACTGTAACATTGCATCTGCATTTTGAGACAATTTCAAGCAGGTGTTTTGGGAAGAAGGCATTTTTCAAGCAATGAAGATTCAAATGAGTACAAGAACCTCGTTTGCAGAAAGAAAAAAAAAATGTCCCTTTTTGGAAACACTTTAGAACTGCTGCTACAAAGGACAACTGCTCTGACTCAGTTGAGATTTTTTTAAATGAAATAATACTTTAGGCCAAAATTACTATGAATATTGGATCTTTCTGAGATTTTCATACTACCAGATTTAACCACCAGAAAGCAGAAGTGTGCAAAACACTAGCTGACGGCACTTTATTTTATTGCTCTCCTTTATTTGGTATTCATCATAACCCCTCAGACAGAAAGTTATTACTCTATATGGCACTGTTTTCTATCACAAATATGTATATGTGATATTGATATATAACTATATATATTGCCATTACGCGTGAACAATAAAATAAAGTGTTATGTTAACCTTCTCTCTCTGCCCTTTTGCAGTATGTAGGAATGAGTGCGTGGCTTTCTGATGCTCTGTATGTCAAACTCATCCCTGGCACAAGAAATTCCAGTCATGTGAAGCAAACTGCCCTTTGTCCTCAAAGAAATTGTTTAAAAAAACTTTTTTAAAAGATTTTTTTCATATTACCTGCCTTGTTCTTATCAACTTGAAATGTTGACATTTTCTAACTGTGTTTTGTTGGCTACAGTAATTCAGTATTCCTGTCAAAATTGAAAAGTGCCCTAATTGAATGTGTTTGAATGTTATCCTTGCACAATTCTTTAAATTTAAAGACAAAATGTTTTACCTCACTGTTGGACATACATTCCAATCTTTTCAACTTTAGGAGAAAAAGAAATAATCATGTTTTCCTGTATTGTAAATTTTAGACTATTTCATATACATTGTATTGAAACTGCCATATCAATTTTAATGTATAGATTTTGCAAATACTATGCTATATGTAATAACCTAACTGTATCTGTAGTGTATATGTAATATATTTATGCCCAATAAATGTTTTAATTCTTTCTGACTTAAGTAGGGTTCTTCTGCCGTGAGAAGGATTGCTTTTGTTGTTGTTGTTATTTTTTGAAAACTTAAACCACATCCCAGAAATTGCAAATTCAAATGCTTTTAGAGGCCAAGCAGGTGTTATAGCACATGGGGGTTGCTGTGCCACCCAAAGGGGCAGCTGCCACCTAGCTCCTGCTGCTCGGGGTCCTGCAATCATGCTTTCTAAAGAAGCAAAAAATCTAAATTTCCCCATATGGACCAACTAGAGTGTGATTGTAGACCACACGGGGCCACGGGCTGCTGGCTTTTTGTTTGGTTGGTTGGTTTTTGTTTTTCAGTCTGTGTGCATAATCTGCCACCTCTTTGCCTAACATTTTATCTATATGTCAAAACTCGGGAGCCCAGGTCTGGTCCCCAGCCCCGACTGCTCCCTCTCCTTAACCAGCTCACACAGCTTTGACCTCCACCTTCCCTGATCCAGGTCTCATTCAACAACAACAACAGCAATAAAGCATAGTACTTTTACTATGGCTGTGGTTTCATTGTTAGAATTGTTTTTCTAGGAATCCATTTTTTTTTATTTCTGGGGGGGAATATATGGAGAAACTAATTGTGTATGACTCAGAGTTCACTTTCATACACGAAGAATGACAGACATTCTTATGTACAAGAATGATAAATTGAAGACAACAGATTTGACACGCTCTTGACACCCCACTGAAAATACAGCAAAGAATTTAAGTCTCAACTCTAGGCAGAATGGGGGCAGAGTTATTAGCACCAGAAGTGTGGAAACCCAACGGAAGAAAGCCAAATTTTAATTTATCGGGGAAAACGCATGCCAATGAAATTTACATGCAGAATAGCCTGAAGGCTCAAAAATAGAAGTATGTCCTGAAGTGATGGTTAAGGGAGAGAAGGGCCTAAAATAGGATGTGTTGAAAACTGTTTAAAATGCCATTAGATCTATAAAATCCCTCCCCATGTTTTTGCACTGAACAATCGCCACTCCACAGAGGCCCTCGTGTTCGTCCTCAGAAGGTGAAGTAGGAAGTCTCTGGACTTGGAGATGCCACCCACAGTGGAGCGTGAAGGGGCCATATCGAAAACAGAGTAAAGCGAACATAGGTATATGGGAGGATATCAGAGTCTTCCCTGAAGAGCCTCATGCACTGAAAAGAAAGGTCTGAAGAACTGGTCCAGGCAGAACAGTTTGCTGTTCCTCGATGGTACTGCTCAGCCTTGGCGGCAGGGTAATATCACCTGGGGAGAAATTCAAAATCGCTATACCCAGTTCGTATTCTACAACAATAAAACAAGTATTTCTGGAGCATCGGTGTTGTTTCAAGCTTGATTCCATTGTACAGCCAAGATTGAGAACTACTGCACTCCAGTGGAACTCAGTCAACAAACCTCTGTCAGCTTTTCAATCCTCCAGCTTTACCAAGGGCAGCCTGACATCTGATGAAAGCTGCTAACATGACCGAGAAGTCCAAAAGCCAATAACTCGGAAGAATCAGAGGCTAAGAAAGAAGACGCTTCAGGAAACTATTCCATCTCCAGAGAGGCTAGAAAAGATTAGTCGCCTGTAGACTCAGGATAGAATTCTGTGAAAAGGAATGGTTGAGGAACAGGGAGACGTTCTCAGAAATTAAAAATTCAGTAGAAGGGTTGGGAGCTAAAATTAAGAATCACCTGATTGATAGAGCAAAAATAAAAAGATAAGATAAAAGATTGGGATCAGACCAGGACATTCAATATCCAAGTAATAGGATCTCCAGAAAGAGCAGAAAATGTAGGGGAGGAGATGATCAAACACTTGTGTTTCTAGAATGGGAGAGAAGAGGGGTGCTCAGCAAACAAATGAGAACAGGACCCTCTGCCAAGGCACGCCGTCTTGAAACATCAGAACGCTCGTACCAAGAGAAGCTCGTGGGAAAGCTGGTCCCATGGAAGGATGAGAAATCAGAGTGGCTCTCCACTTGTCGATAGCAGCGCCAGAAGTTTGAAGTCAGTGAGGCAAGTACGTCCAGATTTTGAAAGAAAAAGATTTCCTACCTGCTTACTCTCAGTTGAGTGTAAAGTGTCATGAAGACATTTTTAGAAACTCGAGATCTCCCTTGCCCCCCTTTCAGGAAGCAGCTGGAGGAGGTGCTCAGCCACGGGAGTGAATAAACCAGGAAAGAAGCTTCCACGGGGTTCCGCCTCCGGTGCTTTTCCTGCGGGTCGGAAGTTGGCTCTCTGGCCCTGTGTCCTGGGATTTGTGCAACTTTCACTGTACCCCTTCCCTAGCCCTAGTCACCGTGTGCTCATAAACACTCACACAGTTACTTCTCTAGAGAGATGACTGCAAAATGGTCCTTTTCAGCTCCTCTCAGGATACCTCGCCTTGGGCTAATTGAAATAACAAATCTGTCTGCAGGTACCCCTTTTTTGGGGGAGACTAGAAAAAAATTTCCGCCTCCATTGAGTGCCTCAAAAGCTGGGGGGGAGGAACATAGGTCCAGGAGCGAGTTCCATCAACTCTGCGGCACGCAGCACATTATTGGGCTCACAGTAGAAGCTGTTTGAAAAGGTGTGTTGAGTTGAAGTCATTTGGTAGGAAAAGTTCACATAGCAGTAATGGGATTGATCCATAAGACTTGCTGCTCCAAACCATGGTATTTTTGTCATGGGTGTTATTTTTGGTGTTTTGATTTTTTTTTTTAGTTAAAATGATAAAATGTGGAAATTTCACACAAAATCCTGGGGTTCCAGATTCTACTAAAATGTGGAAGATCTGGCAACTCGAGGTCTCGTTTTGGAATGGTGCTTTTCAACAGATGTGAGCAGTAGCTGCCCTTGGTGACTGGGGCATCTGCTCTGCAGCTGACCACATTTCCCACCAGGTCCAGGGCATACGTGTGGATGGTATCATCTTTTCCTTGTACTTGTCTCCGTCAAAAGTGAGTAAACAGGACAAGACTTCCAAGAACGGTGGAGTGAGGACATCTGTTAATCTGCCTCTCCACAAAAGCATCAAAAATACTGGCAAAAAAAAAGTTTTGGAAATGTTTTCAGAACTCTAGAAATTAACCCAAGGTTTGTAACAATTGAACTTGGTAAGAACAGCAGGTTTTGTGGTATTTTATCTCAGTCTGCTGCCCCTCTCCCCAGCTCCACAGGAGCCTTGAAAACCAGCAGCCCTGCAGCCCCTGAAGGGAGCAGACTGGGCTCGGAATGTCCCATGCCAGAGCACTGTCACCGTCTAACCTGACTCGGCTCCCTGGCAAACCCTCCCTTACAGGGTGTAGTCATCATCTCACCTGCCTCAGAGCTCACTCTATGGGAACAGCCTTGTACCCAGAGCGTTCATTCAAAAATAATCCTGCAATTGATTAACCCTGTTCCTACTTGAGGCTGCAAAGCCAATTGGAACAAATGAGAGCCTGGCAAGGAACTTCAGGACCTGGGAAATGAGATGTCCGTAGGGAACTTTAAAAAGTTAATAATGGCTCTCAGGGTCTAGAGGGCCACGTGCATGTGCTGGGCTATGCACATGCACGCCCAGGAAAGATCTGAGAAGGCCCCCTCTCTCACCAGGACCTGTGCAAGCAGGGAGTGAAGACGAGGCAGAGCTGTGAACCCCCTGCACATCGAGGGTGCACTCCAGCACACAGAGACCTGCGGTTCTGAGGCTTTTAAGGAAATCTGGGACCAGTCATTAACTGGCCATTAAACAGAACAGGGATTTCTGTGGCCAGATGCAAAGAAAAATCTGGAAGGGTGCGATCTGAATTCGTAACTCTGATGTGTCCTAACTGGGGGTGGGGAGGTGATGATAAAAAGATTTTAGTCTTCACTGCAATATTTTAGCCTTTTAGATGAAAAATGCATTGATGTATTGTGTGATAAATAATAGTTTTATGGTAAACAAAACCATATTAAAGAAAAAAGGTTCCATCCCTTTTCTGAGCCAAAGGATTGACAGAATATGCTTCTTATTTTTTCCCCTAAGACTGACAATAGAGACATTTTGGTTGTCGTCTTCTGCACAAATAAGTCGTAGAAGACGTGTTTGACTCAAACAAACACATCCTCTTGCAGATACGAGCCATTGTATATTTGTGGTTTTTCTACCTCTGGATTCCCCAGCGTGAAGAGGTGTACAAGATAACTGCAAATGGTTGAAGTCGGCCTCTTTCAAATTATGTCATTTTTGTCATCTGTGCAAACAAAGACAGATAAGACTAAAGTGGATATTTACGTTTACAACAGAAATAGAACAAGTAATTCATAATGCGGGCGCCACTCAGATAGCAGCAGAAACCATAGGGCTGATAAGCAAATGACCAAAGTTTGAGCACAATGCACCGTGCTGCCTCCTAAAATACAAATGGACCTCTGCAACACCACACACTTGAAGTTAGCATCTGCAAATATAGGCTGTCCTCGGGTGAAAAGAGTTTTATTTTAGACAAGGAGAAGGAGTGGGAATAAACATCAGGAACCACACAGAACTGGAAATTGAGCTGAACTAGAAAGTTTGTAATAGCTGATCCCTGCCAGCCACGGCCACCCACTTACACCTTCCTGTCTTACTGTGCGTATTTTCAAGTTCGGGATTTAGGAATATTCACTTGATCGAAAATTGGCTTTGCTAAAATTAAGGTGCTCTTGCCCAAATCCGGAAGGTTGTAGAATGTTATTTCTGCGGAACTCGAGATGAGCTAAAACAGGTGTTGGTTTTGCAGTAGGTATGGGAGAGAAAGTGGAAGTATAATAAACATCTGTAGTTTTGTCTGCCGCACCCTCCTCTGGCTAGTGAGCTACGGAGCACCCTCTCCCACCTCCAACTCCATCCGCTCGGTTCACAGCTTTTGCTGTGTTCTTCCCAGGCTTCTTGCCGGGTTTAAGCACATTATCCTAAGGATGAGTCCATCGCCATTTGGAATTAAGACTCAAGCTCGTCTTGGTCTAAAGTCTGGAACTGCAGGATGAAAAGCTTGAAAATTCTGAGCAGCTGATTTTCTCTGTAGA